TATCTCAAGCCCTCCAATCCTCATCTTCCCAATCCAATTGGCCAATTAGGCCCCTCTCTTGTTAATCCTCAAGTGTGGGATATTCACTCTCCCTCAGTAGCCAAATGTCCCCGTCAGAATTCTCCTTAAAAATCCCTCACAATTCCCTAACTTGACACAATATCCCCTCCCCTGCTCTAACTTAGAGGAACTAACTCCCATAATACATTATCTCTTACAAAAGAGACTTCTGAAACATGCCAACTCTCCCTTTAACACTCCCATTTGAACAACAACAAAAAAAAACACTACAAGCCAGAAAAACTACAATTATATTTTACCAGACATCAAAAGATTTTTACAAAAAAAAATCAAATTAGAAATTTTAACTATTTGTTAAATATATCCTTGTTTCAATTTGAATTAAGTTTAATTGGTGTGCTTTAAACATTTCTTGCATATTGCAAATTCTTGAATTGTGATTATAAGATTAACTTGCTCTTTTCTGTACTTTGTTGATAAAAACTCAAGGTTAATACTGTTCTATTGACAGCCAGTCAAATTTTAAGATACAACAATCTAAAAACAGAAAAAGGATACTTTAAGCTGAAATTTGTTATAGAAGATTTATAATAAGTGAGACGGCAGAAAAAAAATATTAAAAAAAAACTATGGGTAAGAGATATACTTTTGATATAAAAGGATTTTGTATGCATGTCTTGTTAGAAAGATATAAAGAAAGATATACAAGACCAGAAGGCTTAACTATGTAGAAAAGGTATGTGAAAATGATTTAACAAGAAAATATATATGTTTGCTTGTTGGTTTCAAGTTTGTTACAGAAGGTTTACTTTTATAATAACAGCTTTCATTCCTTTTGATTCTAATTCTATGAGATCTGTTAATTGACCTGCAAAGGTTTTGACTAGTCATAACTAAAAGATTTTATAATTCAATTGGCCAAAACCATCTGGGTACACTCGAGTTTAAACTGTCTTATATGTTTGTCTGTCTAAATGTTATCTGGTTTTATAGGTCAAATAAAAATTTAAAAATAATTAAATATACACTTTTAAATTTGGGTACACTCCTGTTGATAAATAAAGAAGCAGCTGCTTAGAAAATTTATTCTGATCTTTATTCACTAATGGGAGCCCAGATAATTTTTATACCATTATAGAAAGATATGCATTGTTAAATATGTTATTATAACATGTTTATGATGGTTATCTTCAAAATATAAGTTTCTGTATAAAGAAATTCATGTTGTTTATGACAATAACCTTTTGATCCAGGTATTCTCTCTTCTCTTCTGCTCCACCTACCTATGGTTACAGGTATATTTATAGGCCCATGCACTTTCCTTAGATGGTACTGTATCAAAAGGCAATAACTTAAATATGTTTCTTTTTTTTGTTTTTGTCTATATATATATATATATTTTAAAGATGAATACATTTAACATTGGCTATTCTATACTATGATACACATCTAAGTTTGTTACCAAGATGTCATCATGGTTGTCATACTAAAATATTATCATTATGTGTGACACCTGATTACAAGTTTTTCTGTTAATATTCTACAAAAAATTAACTACTTAAACAACCATGATTGATAAAATAATAGCCCTCTAACTGTATTTTAAATTCCAGGATACTTGCTAGCTAGATAATTATGATGATTAAGCTCCTACTATACTACTGATGTCACTGATCTTCTCTTCTGGGTGTTCAACCACCAAAACACAGAGACCAACACTAAGAGGTAACTGGGCTAAGGAGATCACTAATATTTTGGCTCTAGCCCTCCAAGGTCATCAAAGATCCAAGGCTTGAAGGAACCTTTTTTTTACAACATCCTACATCTTTGCTAAGTCACCCAACCTCCTGAACAGGGAGATTGCTGGATACCAGAGGACAAATGTAATGTGTGCTAAAGGAGGGTCACCAAAAAATTCTTCCATGCTTTTGCTAAAAGCACCATGGTCAAACAAGACCGGGACCCATCCTAACAGCTGACACTGGGAGCTGAGAGGCTCTATTACATGGTTCCAAAATAATGCCTAAAGAGACTTAACTGACCTTGGCAGATAGATAACAAGAAGTTCACACTGATTAACACAGGTCTCACTCTAATATGGTCTTAAACACCCATCAGAAAAGAATAACCAAAAGAGACAATCAATAAACAGACACTAGTGACAGACTTTTGAGGCTCATTCTCCTCCCAAATATTTCTCTTGATTAAGACACCCATTCCCTATAAAGGTTATAAATGTGTTAATATGGGTCTGTACTTTTTCTAGAGGGCCTGAGGCCTTCCTTATAAAAACAGAGGGCTTCAGAAGTATACAAGATTTTATTAAAAATTCCAAGGTTTGGTCTGCCTCTCTCCATAGACAATGACAATGGGCCAGCATTTATAACAGGTTATATAAGATCTAGCTAAACTGTTATACTGCTTATTGACCTCAGAGTTCTTGTAAGGTTAAAAAATGATAAATTATACCCTTAAGGTAAATATTGTCAAATAACACCAGGTTATGAGTTGATCGGCTCCCTTTGACCTTCTTTTAAATAAAAGATACCCCAAGTCATACTGGGTTCTCCCCATATGAGATCTTGTTTGGAAGGCCACCCTATACCTTAAAAGACTTTATATATGAAAAGAGCCATATATAAGACACTTATGGTTACTCCCACAGCTGTCAAGTTAACTAAAGTTCAGCTACCACCACTCTAAAATAAAACAGGTCTATCCAGAAAACTTCATAGACTTTGACTCCAGGAGGCAATGCACTCAAAACCCTGCTCTAAATTTAAGTATTGCCCAGGATCCTTCACCATCATCCAGTCCTGAGTCAGATAAGCCAACCTAACTGTTTACCCTCTCATCCTCTCACAGGGTATTGTGACCCATTTCACACTACAACAGCCATTGATATTCTATTAGTACTTCTGGGACTTGTCCTTGGGATAAGATTGGCCACAATATCTCCTCCCAATTATAATTTTACTTCCAGGTGTTTAGTCTCATTGACCTATTACCTCATAATCTCATTCTTTGCCATTCTTAATTGCTGGAAACAATAATGGTTCCTCTCCTGCTCCTGTTTTCTCTCCCAAACCTTACCCAAGCCAATAAGCCCCTCGTATATACCTTGATTCACTCCCAGCCTAACTCAGCCCTCCTTCAGACCTAGGTATGATCTCCTAAAATCACATTCCAGGCCACCTTATGCCAGTTTTTTGACCAAATCATCAAATTCCTGCTGCTCTTCACACTGGCCCACAGCTGATTTCTGCTGCCCTTTCCATATCTACCTATACAGTTGCCCCCTGTGTTCTCCATCTTATTCAATCCCAGGTCAGTCGCCTCTCCACTCAAGTCTCCCGACAGATGACTCACCAGCTGATATCAGGCCAGAGACCCCAGTGAGACCACCGTGTTACATATACAGCCAACCAACTAACCATAACTCAGATCTTGGCTCAATTTAAACATTTTCTAAATGATCTTTAGACTGATATTCTCTGGTTTGCTCCCCACCCTCCTGCTATTACCTGCATAGCTGACTGGATCACTAATGCACAGCTCCAAAAAACTTTAACAGATTTCACCCTGTCTGAAGTCACAATCTTTACCGTTATACTTGTACTTAATAACCCTCCAACCAGTCCACAGCCTCATACAAATTATCTTCTACTCTCCCCTCCCTCATTAACTGATTTGTGTGCTTGGACTTTTCTCAGGAAGCCCAACCAACAATTCCAATGACAATGCTGCTGCTGTCAACAATTCCATGTTCATAAAGGACAATTCAGCCGGCCAACCTCCATGCCTGCCCCCTAGGTTGATTCGTCGCCACAATTCAGCTGGAAGTAGACACAGAAGACAGACTCTCCGCCCCTTTTTCCGCCTGCCATGGACATGTTGGCTGTCTATTGTCATCCAAAATCAAAGAGTGGGGAATGTTAGGGAATTGATCATGTCAAAGTATGCTGTGACGCCGCCTCACAGGCTGCATTCTCCTGGTACATCTTGGCTCCTAAAATGACCTCGTGCCCTTATCTCTGGTTTCCCTTCCCCCCAAGGCCACAGTGGTCCAGGAAGTTGAAACATGTGTCTGCAGGACTGGGCCCATAAAAGCAATCTGGCCTGTGATAGGTTAAAAGTAGCTCACTCAAAAGGACCTTCCTTTCTTTGTTCCTCTCTCTTCTTCTGCTTCTTCTTCCTCTTCTCTCTCTCTCTCTCTCTCTTCCTTCCTGCCTCCCGCTCGCCTCCCCTACAATAAAGATCTCCTGCCGGACCTCTCGGTGAGTGAGTGGCATAATTGGGCAAGGGGCACCCAAAGGGGGCTCGAGACCCCTTTCAGGGTTGGCTCTTTGTGATAAACAAGCGGGTTGTGGGGTGCAGTGTGGGCACTCAGTCTCTAAAAGGTTCACCATCACTGGCCTAGTTTCTCATCTCCTGGGAAGGGCACAATTGTTACCTCTTTATAGAGAGGCAGTTGGCTCAAAGCCCAGCTAGAAATTCAAGTCCTGAAGTTTTCCTGTTGTGACAACAATGAGATAGCACTGGGGCTGTGGAAAGACAGATGTCGGGGGCCCTGCCTTTTGGACACGGCAGAGAGGCTCAAGAGCTAGGACATATAAGCGTCAATGGCACATCTCTGCTCATGTGTGGAAACATGCCATCGTGTAAGGGCTCAGGGTCAGCTCCCCAGAAGACCGTCCTCGGGATAGTCTTTCTAGGCCAGAACCGTGTCCCTGATTTTGGCAAAAATGGAAAAGCCCCAAGCCCTGACGACTTATCATAAAGGGAGGAGGGCCACTAAAAAGCGATGCATTTGATAAGGGGGAAGTGTGGCTGCTTTCCCTCCTTTTCACTACTCACTCCAGGTGAGCTACACAAGGAGGAGGATGATGTCATTCTCTACAGCTAATTCGTGCCCTAATTTTAACTTTCAGAACATCGGGGCTTCTTTCCTCCTTCGGAAGGGAAAGCCAGAGACTGACCTGGTCAAATCTTCTATGTCTACCAGCATCGCATCCTGCTCTGTGTGCAGCTCATCCCGGATGAGAAGCAGCTGGACCAATTCTTCATTCAAGCCTGGAGCAAAGAAAGGAGCACTTAGAAATGGCACCGCGGCCACGTCAGAACATGCAGTTATGCACTGTCCATCTTCCCGTACCCTAGGCACACATGTACATGGACACAGCTAGACATCACAGTAAAGATATTTTTGTGACAATTCAGACTTCTTACTTTAGCTTCTCAAAAGCCTAGAAGTCAGCAGTTGGAGAAATATGAGCAGTTACATATTTCAGAGGTACTGGAAGAAATGGAGTCAAGTTAGAAGTATCACTTGAGTATCCTTTACTCTAAATGCTTGGGACTAGAAAATGTTTCAGATTTTGCTGGTTTGATGATTTTGGAGTATTTGAATCAATACTACCCCCAAATCCTAAATCTGAAATGTTCTAAAATTTGAAACTTGGTGAACATTTCAAAGCATTTGACATTTTAGTGAATGCTCAACTTATACATTCAATGACATTTGTATTAAATACAAAAATAAATTGTTAGTTGCCCAGAACTAGCTTGTTAGAAAAAGTGGAATTTGTTTTGAAGAGATGAGCATGTTCCGTTTTCTATCCTTCCTTTGCAGGATGCTGTTCGCCACACTGAGTGTGGGAGGAGCCTCCTGGCACCTGGCTGTGCTACATCAGACACCCAGCTGGAGAGGTACATCAGGAATGTTCAAAGCCTTTGTGTGGCTCTAGGAAGTTGTTCCAAAGGAAAGCATCGTGTTAAAATATTGGAAAATCAGATTTCTGGAATAATCAGATGTGTAAGGCCTGAAGAAATAATCCATAGAGTCTCTGGAAAATAGGGTGTCAAGGAAAATATTCCTGAGACATATACTGGAAATAAAAAAATATACATTTTATTGCTACCAAATACATACACACACACACACACACACACACACACAGATAGAGAGAGACAGAGATTTCTAGTTCTACTCAAATCCATCATGTACTGAGTTAACTGGCTATTGCATAAAAACTATGAAGAAGCAAAGGGCTCACTCTTTTCTCCCTCAGAGAAGCCCCTGAGCAGCTAGGTGCAGACACAGGAGGAAAACACTCACTGATGCGATCCCTGGGTAGGGAAACAAAAGAAAAGGTGGGGCCATTCAGGAACCCCCCACATACTTTAAGAGATTCTGTCTTTAAGTGGTGTATTTATCTGCTTTTAGTTCAGACTAGTTTCAAAGTCTAAAAACAGAGAAAATCACATGCCAAAGTACACAGTTCCACCTGCTCCCAAAAATGACTGGATTACAATTTTATTATTTAAGAGTCTAAAGAAGATGTTTCGGTGTTAAAAATATTAGAAAGACTTTTCAGTCCTGGAATGAATAACAATTCTTGTAATTAAGTCTCAACTGAAATTAAAATCTAGAATTTTTTTTTAATAAAAATCCTATCAACCTATGGGTTTCTTAATTAAAATCTTGTATCTTTTTTGATTTTAAAATAATATTGAATGTATCAACATGGCACTGAATACAACTTTTCATCAGGACCTAGTGAAAATTTCATTTATTCCAGTGTGCTCTTGGGGTAGCTTTTTATACCTACCACTCAGCAGGCTTCCTGCACAGCTCAGCCCTTAGGTACACAGAAATATTTTTTCTAATATTTTTTAAACCTCTATGAAAAATTTCAGACAGATACAGTAGCAGTAAAAATAGTTAATAAATCCCCCCACATCTAACCAGTTTCAACAGTGATTAACTTATGGCCAATCTTAAATCCTCTCTCTCCTATGCTCCCACTGGATCATTTTAAAGCAATCCAGATGCTACTTTGTTTTTTTCTTTTGGTACCGGGGACTCGGGCCCTTGCGCTTGCGAGGCAGGCAGCAGAACCACTGAGCCAAATCCCCGACCCAAGATGCCACTTTCTTTCATCCACAAAAGCCTCAGTGGGTACCTCTTAAAAGACAGCAGCTTAAAAAAAAAATCACATGACCACAATTACCTTTATAATTTGTAAAACAAAACAAAAAAAATCAATAAAACATTTAGTTATAGTTCAAATTTCCCTGCCTGGCTCATAAGTGCTTTTCAACAGTTGGTTTGCTTGAATGCACTTGGCTGGTTTCTCTTTTGAATCCCTTTTAATCTGTGAATCCAATGGGGTTTCACAGAGTCACATTCCAGAGGCTGGGAGATCATCTGGCTGACCACTGTACCTTTGTGAGGATGGTCAGCCACATGCCTTCTCCGTAAGACTGATCACTGCCAGTGAAAGTCCCTACAACCACTCACGTGCCATCCCCTCTGCACAGTTCTGTTACAGCTCCTTCTTTATTCTGGGGGAAAAGGCCGGCACTTCGTAATGTAATTTTCACGTATTGGTAACCTATACTTTCGCTACGTAGAACCTCACACAATAAAAATAATTTGATTTGATTGGTGATGCTGCTGCTGCCTAAAACAAATGTATGTATGAGCAAAGTAGTACAATAACTGACTTGTTGCTACTAAATTGTACTCTTAAGAACAGATGTTTTGAATTAAATACATGCACTGGAGATTTAAGAAAAATACAAAAGGACACGTAACCGTTACGAACATTGAGAAATACATAAAGCTTCTGACATTTTACAGTTAGAAATACAACAAAAACCAAAGAAAGAGCCTTGTGATTCTCTTCTTTTTCTTGCAAACACACAGAAGGAACCCAGTGTCAATGTCATATAGAAGATCCGTCATGACTTACATTTCATGTCCAGGTCTAAGTGCCCCACACTTACTTTCGATCTGGGAATGGAGATCGTTGACGATGACTTGTAGCTGCCCAATAGTCATGTCTCTCAAGTCGGTGGGTTTTAAACTTCTTTTCATCAAACATTCACTTATATGAGGCATGTGTGGCAGCTGACGATACAGAGGGGAAGAAGTGGACGTGTGAGTAGCATGACAGATACCCTGAATGCAAAACCTCATTTCCTCTCTAGGACCCACCCTAAGGCACCCGCTGCGGTTCCGGTTCTGTGCTTTAAAAGCTCCCAGTCTCTGATCTTCCCCATGGCGCTGCTATAGACACACGCCACACGCTACACTACCAGCATCAAAAGCTTTCCTCTTGGTATTTAACACAAATGGAAACATAAGTAATAGCATTGATACGGATAAAATTAATAGTAGCTAATATGTAATAATTTATACCACACTACAAGCACTGTGCAATGTGCCTTGAAAGCTTTGTCTCATTGAATCCTCATAATTGTGCTTTCATACGGGGGTTATACTCATTTTACAGATCAGAAAACTGAGACTTATATCCCTTGGCTAGAGCATGTATAGGAGTTAAGAGTTAGGTAACTCTAAATATCAAGGGCTCATTTCAATCCATTAAAAGGTGAGAATGAAAATCATAGCAATAGTGAGCTATGCCACAGTCAAAATTTCTTTAAAGGTATTTAAATATTCTATGACAACCAATATTGCCCCTCAGAAAGATAGACTGAATCAAGAGAATTTATTTTTGTGAAAGAAATCTATTGAGTCTGTATCCTTTTAAGCATGACAATAGAAAGGAAAAAGAAACAATTATTTCTCAATGACAGTACTTTCTACACACTGCCTTGGAGAAACCCAAGTTTGCATAATCCTGGGAAAGGGTATCAACCATGTACAGCGACCAAACCCTTGCTTGTGTTTCAGCCTCTGCTGCTTACAAGATCAGCGACGGGAGACTTTTTCCTGTTCTGTTTTTCCACTTCTACTTGCATTTTGGCCATGGGTTTGGCCATGGCAAGGGCCATCTTGGCTTCAGCTTGCAATTTCTTTTGCCTTGTGAGGAAGTCCATGTCGTCCAAGGATTCAGACTCTTCTTCAGTGGTATCTCTATCAGAATAGGAAGAACTCTGTTTGCTCTGCAAAGGAAGAAAGAGCAGTCTGAGCTTTCTACACATCTTCTTGCTGAAGGGGACTAGCACCCCCTAAGCCTGCTCTCCGAGAAGCCTAGAGCTTCCTACATCAGCCCCTAAAACTGCTCGACTTGCCTTACACCGATCTTAAGTAAATAAAAAGGTCTACTTTCAGTAGAAAGAGCAGTGTAATTCATAACAGAAAATATTAACAAAACATTTAACCTAGAGCTAAGGCATATGTTGGTGTTCAGAGTAGCTAGGATCTCAGAAAGCCAAAGATATTCTGACACTGCATTGTACTCAACGACCAGCATATTTCCTACTTGTTGGTCTTGGGTACAAAAAGGTAAAGGACAGACTTCAGAGAGAGTAAAAACACCCTGCAACAAGCATTCACTATTATTCAGCCAACTTCTATACTATGTGAGAAAGAAATTAACTCATATTTCTAAGCCCAAATGACTCTTAGCAATTTTCTTCTTTCAATTTTTGAAATATAGCTTGTGCCTTCTATAGTTTAATATGAGAAGTAGTCATTAATTTTAACAAAGTTTATGTATCTTTACAACTTCGATTTGTCAGTGGTTACCAATTTTCAGAAGTATGTAATTCCCAGAGACTTTTCTTTTTCGATCACCTGGAAAGTTTGCTCCTGATTCACAACACGGAAGAAGCTAAATGCCCACGAAGACACCGCACCGCTTTGGCTCGTAGCGGTTTGGACTTACCATGGGAGACAACGGAGTGTCCAAGCTGGTTTCAGTCTTACTGTCATCAGCATCACTGTCCTTATCACTGCCACTGTCATTGACAAAGCATATCTGTAGGTTCATCCCACTCTGCAATCTAGGTCGAAAGCAACAAACACTAATTGTATTTACTTACTAATACTATTTGGCCACAGCCAACGGAACTGTCTGATTTTGCTAATTGAAAGTTGTACGTGTTCGTCATGGGGAAGAAATGAGTGACCAATATTATCCTTCACTTATAAGTGATTTTATTAGAGGACCTCCTAATAGTCTATTCATTTTTTAATACGTTTCATGTTAAATAAAAAATTATTTAAGGCCACATATTATAGCACCCAGTGCAATTCCAGATAAATGTTCTGAGTTGCTGAATTTACAATCCTGTCAATCAAGATGAATGCGTCCTTAGCCAAATAAGGCTGCCTGATGTCTCCTAGGGTCCCTGAGGGACAATCTAAAAAAGCTTACTAGAGTCATCATTCCAAGGCCAAAGCTTTTAAAAAAAGAATTATTCCCAGTAGAATAAGGTTGTTTGAAGGAAACCTTTATTTAAGGCAGCTGCCAAAAACCAATTGAAGGAGCTCACTTATGTTACTAAAAGAGAAAAACACCACAGGTTGGACCCTAGAGAAATGTAGGGAAACACAAAACTCAGTCAGGAGTCATGTCTCAGAACACAGCAGGGTTTTGCTGGCTGCCTCCTGCACAGAGTCAGAGTCAGAGACCTCTGGGGAGCTCGTTATATTTGTGGTGAATCCTGAAACTCCAGGAGTATGTGCTATGCAGGTACACTTGGCCAGAAGTCAGATTCCACTCTGCCCTAACCTTTTTCCAAAGACAAACACATTTAAGTTCTCTTTGGCAATAGTTTTAAAAAAGTAATTTTCTTCATATCTCTTGTAGCCACAGTCTCTGTGTAGACATAGATTAAAAAAAAAAAAAAAAAAAAAGCAAAAGGAGGCTCCTAAGGTGATAAAAGGAGATCATAGGATGCTGGCCTTAGCCAGTTACAGGGTAGAGGACATATATTTGCTCTGTCATTTACCTGATATTTAACACATTCTATTTTTTAAATGTTTTGATGGTATGTGTGTTTTGCTGACTTTGCTCAGATGACTGATTTAAAGCACTTCTTGGGTTGAAAGTAACCCAGCACCCAGAACCCGGGTAAAAACAAAGCAAAACAGCCCTGACTTAATGTAGGAAGTGCAATTCTATGGGTTTGTACTGCCACCTACTGTTCAATTCTATAATTACTCAAGGACCCAGTTTATTTTAAAAAATGCAGCTGCCTCTCTCTTAGGGTTTTCAGTATATTTTTCTCCTCCTCCTCAGGCACAGGTATGAAGATCCAGGCCCAAGGGTGCAAGGTGGGAGGCAAAAGGCTCAAAGGCAGCTGGACTTAGGTTCCAAATTTTCACTTCTCTGGGCACATTACCAGTGTTCTACGAAACACAATTTTCTCATCTGTAAAATGCGGTGAATAATACACACTTTGGTGTATGACAGGAAGTATTAAAAGAGTTTGTTTGGGGCTTGGCATGGTGTGGGGACTCTGTATACACTAACTGACCTCTTTTCTCTATTTTTGGAAGCCCAGACAAAGGAACACCATATTTTAGAGGCGGAATGACTTTCACAAAGGATCTTTAAAATCATGCTCTAGTATCTTTTGCCTAATCACAGCAATCTCTGATTCAAAATTACCTCTTTGACAGAGGTTACTCAAGCTGTCCCTAACTACTAGACAGCCTGGCCCTCTTTTGCACTAGGATTACCTCCTTTTTACTTTCTTTTATTGGCTATCCCCCTGAAATGTAATATGTTCAAGTTTTTCTTTGATCCATATAAATTAAATTTTCCAATTTCAATATCTATAGTTGTTCTGGACAACAGAATCAATCAATTTTTAATAATAAAACTCAAGATTCATGATTTGGAAGATGATGGGAAAAAATTTACAAATTGAAAACAGCTCATTTTAAAAACTAGCATAATCACAAATCTAGGATTATGTAGCTTTTTATCATTCAATAAAATCTTGCAAAGAAGTATCTGATCACTGGATATATGGATTGAGCAAATATACAACAGCCCGATAGCACCATAACATAAGAAAGTTTAAAATGTCCAAAGATCTATAATTGCATGCTGAAAAAAGTCTGGCTATACAGACTATTCTGTTGTTCTGCCCTGAACTGACCTTCTAAGAAGGTTTAACACAGACCTAAATCGACTATCCCATACAGAGTTTGTAACTCAGGAAAGGCAAGGGGAGAGATTTAATAGGGTGAAAGGAAAAAAACGCCTCAGGTAGAAATTCAGGAAATCGCCTTAGTACCACATCTTCACAGCGGGAAGCTGAACAGGGCTTCTTAAGGGGCGAGACTTACAATTCCTTACAGTGGTAATCACCGAGAGTGTTACTCCCAGGAAAAGGAAATGATATGACATTATAGCTAATGGTTCAGAGGGGATTTTAGTAATAAGGACATCTTAAAATGGGTTCAGGTTTTAAGAAAGATTTGTTTGCCTTTAGCCTTTAAGCTGGTTTTAATAGGAAGGCGGCTTTGGGTGAAACTTAACTATAGTTCGCAAGCAGTGGCTTGATTGTAGGGTTTGTGGGGCCACCATACTCACTGAAGGCCTCAGATAACTCTCCCTCCAGCACATATAGCTGTTCTTATGCCTCAGTTTTGAAGATGCAGCTCCCTGGGCTCCTGGCCCTTACACCTCAGAGTACACCTGGCCTCGTGCATAAACAATCTTGCAAAATTTGGGCTGCAGGGGTCTAATTTGCGTGTTATCTTTTCACACAGTCTGAAGTGAAAACAAAACAAGATCTTTGTCTTGTTAATTACAGATATGATTTTAAGGTATTTTCTTCAGGGTTACTTGATGTTTTGAGTGGCATTTGGCGGAGCATAGCATGCAAAATGCTGCTGGAAGTGTATCTTGCAGGTTGATTTTCTTTCTGCAGGTCCTGGTAACCCAGGAACCTCTTCTTTATACACCACGTAGCAACTAAAAACAACAGTGTTGTCCAGTGTTACTGACAGAGGGTACCAGGGTCTTAGAAAGGGTATTTTGATGGAGAAGACTCAGAACTTAAAGATATCAAAGCCTAAGCATCTTCTAGACATGTCAGTGTGAGCAGAAGTAGCTTCCTGTATGACGGTACGAACAGGCCAGAACTGGGACAGTGTAAAGAGGAGAGTTCTGCACTGTGTCTTCCTGGCATTTACAAGGAGGAAGACTGTTACTGAGAAAATGGCTGTGCTGAGTTTCAGCTGCAGTTACCAGGGATATTACTGAAATATGCATGGAACTGAGAGATGGCAGAGATGAAAAGTTCTCAACTACAAAAAGAAATCTCAAAAGCATAGCAAAGTGCTGACATGATTTGGTATAACAATAACACTGCTTTCAAAACACCCAGACAAGACCAGTTTACTCCCACAGAGAAACAATGCGACCATCCTAAAGTTTGCTGCTGACTTTCAGAGGGGCAGCAGCTATTGTGAATCAGGGCTCTGTCCTTGACCCGGGTTGTGGTACAGAAGGGCTGGTCTGGAGCCAGCTCTGAAGCCCAGTACTATTCATCGTATTCTGCTTTCAGAAATGGGAATCTTCTGCACACCAGCTTAGACCACAAGCACCGATGCATGAATATTTAAGATTCTTTGGTAATATTTTATCCTCCGCTGGCCCACCAGGACTTGTTCATGTCATTTGAACTAGAGTGTTGAATTGCAGTTTAAGAGTAAGTTCACTTACATCAACTCCTTGGGCTACATAATTGCCAACAGGTATCACTCGAGATATCATCAGAGAAGTCCAGCAACATGATCCAGACTTGTGGTAGCCTAATATAAAGATGGTCTCAGTTCTTCCCCTCCTTGCTACTCTTCTTTCTGTTCTATAGAGTGACTTCTCAGCTTCTCCCATCAGTCTATTCCCCAACCCCTGGTCTGGCCCTGTGACCAACAAAAAGCAGTGCAGCGATACTCTTCCAGCTCAGGTCCCCTCCTCAGGGAGCTCTGCCACAGCTGGCAATCTCAGAACAAGTCCAGGCTTGCCTGCTGGCAGATGAGTGATTTCACAGCACAGAGCTCCATCCTGCAGTGGTCCTGACAGAAGCCCCAGATGCAGGCGAGCTCAGCTGAGAGCAGAGCTAAGGCACCTTGCTGACCTCTAGTTGACTGCAGGCATGTGAGTAAGCCATAGGTACCTATTTCTGATCAGTAGAAGTGCTCAGCCAACCAATAAGCTCTTAAGCAAAAACAAATGCTTATCCTTGCATGCTTTTGATGGAATTGTTTTTTCTTTTAAATGCATCATCAATGTGGCAATAGGTAAATAGCACAAGGTCATATGGCAAGAGATTTTAGGCTGAACACTTGACCTTGGAGTCCAGGGCCTTTCCCCATAAGAACTTAACCTTAGGTATGGATTTGTAGTATTAGATTCTGCCCGTATCTGGTAGTATAATTTAACAGGACATACACGCCTGGTATTTGCTTACAATCCCAAGGTGTCTATATGGTTTTCCTCAGGAAGCCCAGGAAGAGGGAACGTCCCGCATGCCTATGGATTTCACACACGAATTTTTATCTGCCTACAATCAGCGTGGCTTGTAAGCCACTGGCTCTGCTGTGCCTTTCCCTACTCAACATCCCCTACGAGTTTGTAGCCAAGCTGTTAAAATTTATTATTTCAATTTATTTTAATGGATCTTTGACACATTATTCAAAATCTTCTACATAATGAATAATCACCCATATCTTATATCTTTCTGTTTCATGAGAATTTCAAAGGCAACCGAGCTTAAAATATGGATTTTAAGTACCCAAGGGCAAGTACAATCACATTTCACTTTTCTGAGAATTTCTCATGAAGAAAAATGTGAGAATAACTGTAGATACACTGTATATGCAACGGTATCTCCATAGAACATGCTGAGGTGGGTGAAAATAAGGTATTGCTACTCTGTAAGAAACTAGAATATTTCTTCCATCCCATAAACTGCTTTTCCCTTCTTTTCTCTACTGACTGTTCAATACTGATATTATCATGAGTTACAGAAGCCTACTA